AAGAACAAAATCATGAATTTTGCTGCAACCTGGATGGAACTAGAGTCTATAATACTGAGTGACCTCTCACAAAAACAAAAATCCGAATATCACATGTTCTCACTCATAGAATGGACCTTGAACATCCAATGCAATACTATGAGAAAATGACGGATGGTACTGGGAAACTATGGGGGGGAGGGGGATGGGATTAACAGTAGCAAATATCTGTCGGGGGATGGGAAAACACTTCTTATCTACAGGGTGCCTGAATGAAACGTCATTGTACACCTAACCCTTAACTGTACCCCACAAAACCATAATAAAAAATACTGATTAATGAAAAAAAAAGAATATGTAGTATTATACTGTAATTTAGGTAACCAGTTTTCTACTGATGGATAGTTAGCTTGTTCCCAGTTTTATGCTATTACAAGTAATGCTTTGGTGAACATCTTTGTTTAAATACTTTTGTGGCCGGGTGCAGTGACTCAGGCCTGTAATCTCAGCACTTCGGGAGGCCAAGGCGAGAAGATTAGCTAAACTCAGGGGTTTGAGACCAGTCTGGGCAACTTGGTGAGACCTTGTCTCTACAGTAAATGAAGAAGTAAACTGGGCTTGGTGGCTTGTGCCCGTAGTTCCAGCTACTTGGAAGGCTATGGTGGAAGGACACCTGAGCCCAGCAGGTCGAGGCTGCGGTGGCTGTGAGTGTGCCACTGCACTCCAGCCTGGGCGACAGAGTGACACACCAACTCAAAAAATAAAAAAATAATAAACAAACAAACAAACATTTTTGTGTACTTCTGCAAGAATATCTATACAGCAAACATTTAGAAGTGAAATTGTCAGGTCAGTCTTTTCAAGTTATCTGCAGTTTTGCCTGTTAAGCAGGCACAAGTGGTGGCATAGGTATCCTCTGTCTGCCCACTGTAGTGCCTCTGCCTTCTTCCTTCAAAATTTCCACTATCTTAGAAGCTCATAATGTAGTTGCACTGTTTTCTCCTGACCTCCTTTCCTGATCACTCCTATCCTCCAAAGACTTCTGCTCCGGCTTACCTGTCCTCCTTTTTCTCTTTCTCCTTTCAAAGTTTTCAGTGACTTGAGTATCACTGTGGAACACTCATCTAACATCCTGGGCTCCTCATCCACTCTGGTCTTTTTCTTCACCTCCCACAACCACCTACATCCATGATTACAACCTAAACTTCATTATAAGTCTCTGCACCACCCATGAAATCTTGAAATCAAGAGCTCTGTCTCCAATAACCAGCACTCAACTTCTAATTCACCTACACTAATACCCTTCCATAACAATGCTTTGGCCTCATCAAACCTCCAGTTCATTCACCAATACTTTTTTCACTATCCAATACCTCCTCCTATTTTCACCTCCCAAAATCCTGTTTGGACTCAACTATCTACCTTTTCCACATTTAATCCAGAACAGTTAAAAGTTGCTGAAGAAAATCACGAAACTAGGCTCCCTGGCTGTATTTTAAATTAATGACTACAAAACTCTAATGGGCACTCAACCTTGCCTAGAAGTCTTACTTACATTTCCCTAGTAAATTTGATTCCTAGACTAAAAGATGACAGTTTCACAATGCTTTTTCTTTTTACCCTTTACCTTAGCTATGATGCCAAATAACTTAGCATCATTTTTTACTCAGAAAGTCAGACATGATGGCCCCTATGTTCTACAAACCTATAACTATAAACCTACTGTAGCTATATGTATTCTGTTTTTGCTCCTGTTAGAATGAAAGAAGTATCTCTGAGCCTATCAAGGCAATCCCTCTGTTTGTGCTCTGGGTCCCTAGGGACTTCAGTTTTGTAGCTCTCTGTCTTTCTGTTCTACATTATTTCCCCTTCTTTACTGGATAGTTCTCACTGGATTACAAATATGCTCTAGAACCTCTCTTTCCCTCAAGCCCACAATCTCTTCTAGATACCACCCCATTTTTCTGCCTTCTCTATGCAAAACTTCTGAAAAAGTGTTCTTCCATTTGCTGTCTCCATTTTATCTTACATCCTGGAAGGCTCTCTAATTTGGCTTCTCACCTCACCAACCCTGGTAAAGAATACCACCAAAGACCTCCATGTTGCCAAATCTGATGGATTCTTAACTTCCCTCACTTTTCTTACCTCTCAGAAGATTGGACACAGTCAGCTCACGTGTTGGTCTTCATGACACCAAGCTTTTCTGTTTTTTCTCCTACCTTTCTGCTGCCTCCTCAGTCTCCATTGCTGGCTCCTTGTTCTCTATTCAATGCTTGGTCCAGGACTTCCTTCTTTTCTCTTTCCTATGCTTTCTCCTTGGGTGATCTTATCTAGTCTCACGGCTTTAAATATCACCAATATCTTGTGGACTCCCACTTAAGTATGTGAGATTTCTACTTGTAATCCAATAGGTATCTCCAACTTAACAACAAAACCCTTTATTTCTCTCTTACCATTGTTCCAGCAATCGATCCCATTAAATAAGTCTCTTGATTCTACCTTCTCTCTCAGCCTCCTACCCAAACCACTTCCATTTCTAACCTGGACTATTGTAGTCACCTTCTCAATAGTGCCTTCAATAATCCATTCTACACACACACACACGAGATCTTTTAAAACATAATTCAGTTCATGTCACTTATATGCTTAACCCTTCACTGGCTTCTTATGACACCACCAAGAACTAAAACGAAAACACCCTCTTTATTAGGGCCTACAAGGACCTGTGTGATCCAACCCTGCTTATCTTTTCAACTTCTTATTTCCTCCTTACTCACCATGCTTCAGTCACACAGGGCTTTTTTTGGCTCCACGAATTGCCAAATTCTCTCTTTCTTCAAGGCCTTCGCTCTGGTATTTCCTCTGCTTGGGATGCTTTACCCCCTAATCACTGTGTGATTAGCACTTTCTTTTCTTTTTTTTTTTGAGGTGGAATCTCACTCTGTCGCCCAGACTGGGGTGCAGTGGCCGCTCCCGGCCACCGCAGCCTCAACCTGCTGGGCTCCAGCGATCCTTCCGCCTCAGCCTTCCAAGTAGCTGGAACTACAGGCGTGCGCTACCATGCCCGGCTAATTTTTTGATTTATTGTAGAGATGAGGTCTTGCCAAGTTGCTCAGGCGGGTCTCGAACCTGCAGGTTCAGGCAATCCACTCACCTCGCCCTCCCAAAGCGTGGGATTACAGGCTGAGCCACCGAGCCTGGCCTGATTAGTGCTTCCTTGTAACTCAAAACTCATCTTAAATATCGCTTCTCAGAGAAGTCCCCTCTCCATCTAAAGTAGCCTCCCCCCTCAAAAGTGACTTCACAGTTTATTACCCTATTTATTTCCTTGAGAGCATGTGTCTCATTCAAATTATATTCTTTGTTTACTTGTTTGCTCTCTGTCTCCTTCATGAAAGTTCCTAAGGACAGGTGCCTTGTTCTTTCCTGTCACTTCTAAATCCCTAGCATTTCCAACAGCTCTTGACATATTGAAAGCATTCAATAAACATCTGTTGTATAAGGCAACTGAATTATTAACTATATGATACTTAGGTAATAGTGACAGATCCTAACATGCTAACAACTGATAAATGTGCATTTTCTTAGAAGAGCATCATTATGAGCTTTGTATGGGAATGAATCATACAAAATTAGAAAGGTTTGCTGTTGTGCATTAATCATACACTATATATCCTTCTGGTGGCCTACAGTTTCTCTCTAACAACAAGTAGCTGATTTCTTGTTTAGTAATTCTTACATGAAATTCATAAGCAAATTAACGTTTTTACTTTTATCACATTAATTAAAGGTTCAAGAATAGAGTTATGATTTTCGAAAAGCCTCTCAGAAAGGCAAATGACATTGGGCTGGTTTTCATTCTTCCCACTTAGCTGACATTTCTGAATCTTGATGCCAAGGTCTTTGAACATTTTATCTGAATGAGTGTACTCTCTGAATTCAACACCAGATATTAAATCTGCTTTTCAACCTTGGCTTTTTACGAGATTTTTTTCTGTTCTGTACCAAATTACAGAGATTTTTTTTAAGGAACAAAGTGAAAAAATATACTTCACCATATAAAAGAATCATCTATGTATAATATATTTTCACAAATTCCTTATGTTTGTAAAACATTATGCTTCCAAGGCTCTTAGATTATTACTAGCTGAAATAATAGGAGAATTATGCCAACAATAACATTTTAAAATTAATCTATGCAATGGGACTCAAGTACATATGTTAGACCCTTTATAACGTGGTCCAACTAAAAAATATAATAATTTTTAACCAGGTAGAGTTTGTGTGTACAGTATTTAAAATTTCAGGTAGGCCTAAGTCCTGGACAAGTTTTATTTTTATTAAAATTAACTAACCACTGGATTAAAATGACAGCTGACTGCTTCCTTTAGTTAGTACTTGAAAAGAAAGCCATCCTTTTCTCCTGTGTAACAAATGGCTCTTATTAATTAGGTCTCTCAGTTTGTGTGCTGGCCACATTTGGCAAAGTCCAGTCCTCACCAAAAATAGTAACAACCTGCTCTGGATGGCAATCAAGCAGCAAATCTATTTCTGGCTTTAATGTTTGAAACTCCAAATGCCAGATGTCATAGAACTGAACCATAAATGGTAAAAGTAAACTGGTCTGAGACTAAAATACAGAACACAAGGATTTAGGGTCTTCCAAAACACCTGTTTCTTTAGTACAAAACAAATACACATTCCAGGTTTAGAAGAGGAATTCATATCTAATGTTTTTATGGGTAAAGTCAAAAAAATCTTAAAACTGAAACAGCTGGGTGTGGTGCCATGTAATCCTAGCACTTTGGGAGGTGGAAGTGAGTGGACTGCCTGAGCCCAGGGGTTCGAGACTAGCCTGGGCAACAAGGTAAGACCCGGCCTCTAAAACAAAACAAAACAAAACAAAACTGAAACAACAGGGGAAGGAGGAGCAGAGTAAGCAGAGCAGCTCTACTATTACTCTAAATTTCCTATTTGCTCAGTATTTCTAGTTTTTATTATTAATATCTTTGTTACCTTACCTGTCTCTGAGTGTGCTGGGACCTAGATAAGGATACAGGTTTTCCTTAAGCTTTCCTTTGATGAGATGATCCAGGGTCTCATGGAGGAAAGGTTGATGCTGTGTATACACGTTTTCTACTCCCTAAAACAGGAGGAAATGGATCTTAAATCATTTTTGGGAAACTGGCAATATAACATCTAATAATACTCAAAATAGAAAAGGACATATACTCAATAGAGATTTCATGAGATAGATTCAAATAGAAATTTTAGAAAATGTAAAATGATTTTAATCAACTGTTCTCTTCCAATCTCATAAAAAATACTCTGTAATTTAGAGATCACTATTATAAAGAAATTTTATTTTATTTATTTTTAATTTTTTTTGAGTTGGAGTCTCATTCTGTTGCCCAGACTGGAGTGCAGTGGCCACTCCCGGCCACTGCAACCTCGACCTGCTGGGCTCCAGCAATCCTTCGGCCTCAGCCTTCTGAGTAACTGGAATTACAGGCACGTGCTACCATGCCCGGCTGATTTTTTTATTTACTGTAGAGATGAGGTCTCGCCAAGTTGCCCAGGCGGGTCTCGAACCCGCAGGCTCAGGCAATCCACTTACCTCAGCCTCGCAAAGCACGGGATTACAGGCTGAGCCACCAAGCCTGGCTATAAAGAAATTTTAAAGATGGAATTGCTTAGAACCTTTATCATATCATCTCTGACTCTCACTCTTTTGTGACAATGTTAAATAATATGTAGAGCAAACAGAAGGAAAGAATCATGTATAAAAGAAGACTGGAAACACCCAGGAAAGGAGAAAAACTTCAGGAAACATAAGAAAGGCTAGCAGGCCAGATGTGATGGCTCACGCCTATAATCCCAGCACTTTAGGAGGTGGAGGCGAGAGGAATGCCTGAGCTCGGTGGTTTGAGACCAGCCTGGGCAACTTGGTGAGACATCATTTCTATAATAAACAAAAAATTAGCCGGATGTGGTGGTGTACACCTGTAGGTCCAGCTACTTGGAAGGCAGAGGTGGAAGGATTGCCTGAGTCCAGCAGGTAGAGGCTGCGGTGGCTGTGAGCCTGTCACTGCACTCCAGCCTGGGCAACAGAATGAGATGCCAACTCAAAAAAAAGGAAGGCTAGCAGATTAGAACTAATTTTTTAATTTTTTTTTTTTTTTTTTTGAGTTGGAGTCT